GTCACCAAACCATCCTGCTTTATGGGAGGAAAATGCAGGTATCTGTTGAGGTGTGTTTATATATGTGTGTTTAGTTCTTCTGAGTCTGTGGTTTTTGTGTTTGTTTTTTGCTCATGAAGAATACAAACTTAGATCTGAGTTCTCCTGAGGGAAACAGGATCAGGCCTCTGCTCCCTTTAGCAGCATCTCTTAAGTAATTTGTAGTCTTCCATACTATAAGATTATAATACTGTATTTTTGCTGTACCTTTTCTATGTGATACACAAATATTTACCATTGTGTTGCTTACAGTATTTAGTACAGTAACATGCTGTACAGTTTTGTAGCCTAGTATCATAGAGCCTGGGTGGGGAGTAGGCTATACGATCTAGGTTTGTGTACATACACTCTATGCTGTTTACACAACAATGAAATTGCCTAAGGATGCGTTTCTTAGCCTATTCCCATTGTTAGGTAGCACATGACTAACAATTAGATCAGGATTTTACTGAGAACCAAGCAGTGGTTCTCAACTATGGCTGCATCTTGGAATTACCTGGAAGCTTTAAAAATTACTGATACCTGGATCCTACCCCCAGAGATTTTGATTTAATTGGTCTGGATGTGCCTGGGCATCATGATTTCTAAAAGCTTCTCACACAGTTTTAATGCATAGCTTAAATGGGTTGAAAACTCATTATTAATGAATGGGTTACAAACGCAGTGAAAACCAGGTGTGTGTAGGAGGTTGCCATACTAAGCAGTGACAGTATGGAAGAAAAGAATGTAATTGGGGTAATGTTGCCTTAGTAACTGGAAAGAGTAATCAAGAAACCAGAATTATCTAGGTAAATTTGAGGAAAATTTTCTTATGCTCCATTCCCTGTCCTTATCTGGTGTGTGCCTAGTAGCTAGATAAGAGCTGGAATGTTAGTTGTGTGTTATCTCCTTGCATCTCTGTCTTTGAGACCTCACTCTAGTTTTTTGCTTAAGGAGTGGTGAAAGCCTTTCCAGTAGCTACTTTCCCACTCTGCAGTATCTATTCAAGGAGGCTTCTCTCTGAGTCCCTCTGGAGAGTCTCTTTTGTGCCCAGAAAGAACTCTTGTGTGTAGAGAGTATCCTTCCCTAGCTCAGTCCAGTGTGTAGATCTAGCCAATCTACAAAATTGGCTGTCATCTGAGCTGCCTGGGGTGGGGCATAGGAAGAGTTCTTAAGTGATGGGAAAGAGTGTTGTTAGAAAAATTTTCCTGAAGAAGATGTAACTGGCCTCAGGGAAGGGTAGGTCTCTTTAAACAGAGCTAAACTCTGAGCAAAAGTTTGACAGTGGGTGTGGTCCTGTTTTCCAGGAAAGCAATTAATATCAAATATTTCTTAAGCTCTTTTGTGCTAGGAACTGTGCCAAATACTTTGAATTCATTATATTAGCTAATCCTTTTAGTAACCTCTTGGAGTAGTTACTATTATCATATTTTACAAGTGAAGAAGCAGATAGGTTAAATAATTAGCCCAAGCCATGCAGCGAGTTTATAGAGGATCTAGGATTCAGATAGAAGTCTGCTTGACTCCAGTTTTAAGTGTTAAACAGTGTTCCTTTTGGTTCAAGGGAGAAACCAACATATTCCTTCTGTTCACTTTAGTGTGTGGTGGGAGGGGTGCCTCCTGGATGGGAAATACAGAGCGGTTTAATGAAAATGAAATGGGCAGGATGAGAGAGGAGCCACAGTGAACCAAATCAGAAACCCAAGTTTCTTATTAAGACAAGTGAAACCAAGTTCTGTCCTCATAATGCCTCTTCAACACATTTTAATGAAGATTGACAAGGAGCAGTCAGCTGGTATAGTATAGTTGGCATCTCTGTTCTCTCCAGGAAGGAGTTCTTAGTGAGGCAGATAGAGATAGAGTGAGAGAGAGACATACTCAAGGGCAAGAAACATGGATATGGGGCAAAACTGACAAATGGTGCAAGGAGACGAAGATGCAGCAGTTCGGAGACTGAGAGTGACTGATGGAAAAGGATGCATATCCAGATCCTGAGCAGATTCCAGAATGAGAAGGAGGTGGATGAGATAGATGCAGGGATGGTGGGCAGTTGGTGACTTTACCCTTATGCAGTCTATGCATGTAACAATATTGCACTTGCACCTTGTAAACTGATAAAATAGGAAAAAAAAGGATGAGGAGGATTCCTTCAGGATTTGTTCATGGAGAAGGGCTCAGAGGGGAAATTGTGTAGTGATGAACTTCTCAGTCAGAAGTTCATACCTCCTGTCTTTTTTCTCTTGTTGTCTGATTACCAGGATTCTCCAGGATTCTTAAATTCTATCCTGCTCTACCCTGATACTAAGTAAGTCTGTCTTTCCTTTTGACTCAGAAGTTGGAGACTAAACGTTACTGAAGGAAAATAGATGACAACTGAGTCCTGGATGGAGTTGATGAGCCTGAGGACTGGGCTGTTTGGGGCATACCCTGTTTGGGTTTACCTCTTATGTGGCATGTTCTAGGGTCTCCCTGGGAAAGAGGCATAGATTATCTGTAGGATATCTGAGGGTGACCTGAGTGGAGAGCATGAGGGGGACAAACAGATGGATCTGTTTTTCCATAGAACATAAGGTTCTCTGCATGAACCTCTAGGGCAGTATAGAATAGTGTTGACAGCAGACTTCAGAGTAATAAAGAGTCCTAATAAGTCTCCGCACTTCTCTCAGACTGCTGGGATAATTGTACAAGTTCCTAATACCTTATTTGAAATTTTTGGGGACAGACATGTTTGGAATTTAGAATTTTTCATATTACAGAAAGGGAGTATAGTACATAATAACACATTAAGTAATACTTCAGTGGGATTTAGGACATTGCTGTATAATCAAACACATCAACATTTCTGCAATTAAATGTATGAATACTCAACACTCAGTGAGATAAATAAAGATTAATAGGCTCATGATGGTTGGTGTCAAGTTTCCGGCCAAAGACATGAAAAACAAAACAAAGCTATTGTTTCTTCAGAGATGAGGAATTTTTGGCTTATAATTAATTCTCAGGTTGTCATGAGGAATGAGAGGGTAAAGCTTTCTAAACACATCACATGGTAGGTATGTATGCAGTTTCAATTTGGAACAAGATACAAATGTCCAGGGGAGTGGATTTTTTGCTTGAAGGAAACAAATTTCTGTAGTAGAGAATGTGCAGCTTTTGAACCAGCTTCCTTGGGAAGATGTACACAGCCAGGGGATGAAGGTGCCTTAGAAGTCTCCTGTGATGGGAGGGTGACTGAATTCATTGCTTAAGAACATTGACTGCGTTTGATTTCCCTTTTCATGTGGCAAAGGAGAAAGGCAAAAAATGGTATATGTGTATGTATATGAGATACAGCATTATCACACATTTCTTTATAACATATTTCTTTATAATAATGTAATAAATATCTTACTGTATATCTTTGTTCACATCTCAATTATTTTCTCAGGGTAGATCTTTAAAAGGGGAATTACTAAGAAAGATATGGATATTTTGAAGACTTGTGACCCATTAGGATTAGAATTTTGTTACAATTATCCACAAAATTATTGCTTGGAGGGCATTTAAACTCAGAACCTCATGAAAAAAATTAGTCTTGTGGATGACTTATCCTACACTTGGGTTGACTGTACATTTTCTCCTCATCCACTTGGATTCAGTGTGGTGATGTCTCTGAAAATCGCACAGTGCTTCTGGGCTAGCTCTTTAGTTCCTTGTTAATGATGACCTGGTGAGACCCCATGTGGTACTGGAGATGGCATCATTTGCTTTTTTCTGAAGCCTCCTCTTCTGTGTGGTGGCCCGTAGTGCTTGGCCCACCTATCTGTGCCGAGTGGACTGGGTTTCTCCAGGCTGCAGGTCTTCATGACTAACTTGAATACCTGTGTTATACTTGGTAGTGGTTTTGCCTTTGCAGCCTGCAGCTTTCTCTGACCCCCTGTCAGTGACTCCCTGCCTTCTGTCTGTGATTATACTCATTCTGAACTCCATGCTGGTATGAAAGACCTTTTGTTACATAATGTCCCTTCCAGTGTAGAGCCTTAGCTGAGAGCGAATCCCTTGTTGGATAACACAATGACACTTCCTATTTAATATCTCTATGCTCTGAAGTACAGCATGTAAAATATTCTTATTTTGTCATAGTATACTAATATTGTGTCCTTCTAATAATGTTTGCCAGGACAAATAGGGGTGCCAATGAGGATATTATTTGGGGCTAATACCTTGACTGAAGGTGCACAAAAGGGCAGATTGGCAAGAGATCATAGTAACTCAACCTCTGGCAAGCAGGGGATGTGGTTGCAGTGATTTTCAGGGAGATCAAAATTTCTTTCAGTTGGATCCTGACCTCTGAAGCTGCAGGCCCAGAGAGAAGTTCTAGATGTTAATTCTTGTAGCTTTGTAGGAGTAGGGGAAAGGGATATAGTGATTTCACATGAGACCAAGAGGATTCTCTGAATTGGAAGTGTCTTAAAACTGGTGTTCTGGCCAAACTAGCACCATGAAGCACATTATCCAGATTGTCAGAAAATGGGAGATAAGCCTGTATAACTTATATCCTGAGAGCAGCTTGAAAACAGAATCTAGCTCCAGGAATAGAGGACCATGATCCCAGACACGTACCCAAATACTTGCCTCCAAAGGCAGTGCCGCCCCTCTGTGCTCGTGCCAAGCACTTCCTCCATGTTTGGGATCTATAGAGGAGCTTTTGTGTGGGAACATGGACAGACTTAGGTTGAGATTATGGGTATGGGGGACAGGAAAGGGAATTTAAGCTAGGTTTTGAAAAATTATGATCCCACACTAGTTCCCCGATCTCCTTTTTTATTTTCCCTGCATGGTAATGTGTAACTCCTGACCTCTGCCTTCCCTCAAGCAGAACACATGGTTAGGCCAAAGTCTAGAGACCCCGGTGTTGCACATAGTAGAGGCTTGATAGCCAACATCTGTTGAGGGATTATCATAATCATATGCAGAAAACGGGACAAAGATGACATGATCCACACCCCCAGACCCAGACTCTCCTCTGAGTGCCTCCACACTTCCACCCCAGGCTCCATTGTTACCATCGTCCATTAAAACTGGATTTTTTTGAATGTTAAGGTTTCCAGGAGTCGGTCCCTAATCTGCTTGGTGCGGGCCCCATAGATGAGGGGGTTGAGGGCTGGTGGCAGCAGCAAGTAGATGTTGGAGAGAAGGATGTGCACAGGTTTTGGGATAGGGTGGTGACCAAAGCGGTGTGTGAGGTAGGAGAAAAGACCAGGCACATAGAAGGCCAAAATGACACAGATGTGAGAGCTACACGTACCAAAGGCCTTGGCATGGGCTTCCCAGGTAGGCCGCCGGAGCACAGCATGGGCAATGAGCCCATAGGAGCCAGTCATACCTAGTTTATCAATACCTGACACGGCCAGTGAAAGCACCAGCCCATATAAGTTGTTAGCCCTTGTGTTACCCACCCCCAATTTTACCACCGCCATGTGTGCACAGTAGGCATGGCCTGTGGTCCTGGCTCGGAAGTGCTCAAATCGTGCCACCAGCAGAGGGAAGGGCACAACAATAGCCACAGCTTTCAGTGCCAATGCCAGGGCTGCATAACCCACGCGGGCTTTGGTGATTAGGATAGGGTAGTGCAGTGGACGCCCCACTGCCACAGCTCGTTCACAGGCCATGGCCAGAAGCACACCCGATTCCATGGCAGTCAGTGCATGTACAATGAACATCTGGACTAAGACAGCATGGGACACGGGCTGGGGTCCAAGCCACAGCACAGCCAGCAAACCTGGAGCTTTTGATGTGCTTAAACCCAGGTCTGTGACTGCCAGTGTGGCCAGAAGTAGAAACATGGGCTGGTGCAGCATAGGGTCTATCTGCAAAACTGCCAACAGTGCTCCATTGCCCAGCAGGGCCAGCAGAAACATGGGCCCAAAAACCATTGTCAGCCAGCTCTGGGCACCTGCTAGCCCTGGAATGCCAGTCAGTATGACAAAGGTTGGATGTAGGAAGGTGGAGTTGGGCTGTGGAGTCACTGCCATTCTGTGGTGGGCGAAATTTTAGGGCTCAGGGGGGCATGACTTCTGATAGGAAGGAAAAGGGGAGAGATGCTGGGGGTGTCATAGTTGCACAAAGCCATCCATGGTAGGTTTGGGATGGATAGTTAAGGTCACAATTCTAACTAGGATGGAAGAATACTTTGCTCCCATGAGTGTTGTAGGAAGGGGTAGTGCGGAAAAGGGTGACTGCTGCAGTGGCTGGTACAGCCAGAGACGTTTAATTGAAGGTCAGCTGAGGGTGGAGCTGAGATGAATGCTTTTCTTCCTCAGAGTTCAAGTACTCAGTCTCAGTCTTTGTATATGGGGATAAAGCCAATGTTGGGTAGGGATCAGGTCTCAGACTGTCCTGCCCCGACTGTGTGTCCTTAGGCGGGACCTCTGGGCCTCAGCTTCCTCAGCTCTACAGTGGAGGTGGGCACAGCAGTCTTAAGTCCTCTAACATTCTCGGCACCAACTATTCAAGAAGAAAGGAGGCAGAGTTGAAAGAAAAGGAGAAACAGTAGGGGGAAGATGGGATCTGGAATGAAGCTGGGAGCTTGGTGTGGCAGGGGAAAATTCGGTGAGTTTTTGGGATGTGGGGTGCTTATGTTATTCTGAACTTGATGCTGAAGGAGTGAACTTAAATACCAGCTGGAGAGAAGCAGCTGAGGCTGAAGAACAATGGAGAGAGATGACTGTAAGAAAAGAAACTTTCCTTCTCTGCTTCCTTTTCTCCTTCACGATTCAGAAGGGGGGTCCCACTAGAGTCTCATTCCTGGGGTGTCAGAAGGAGTAGAGTTGACATGGGGATAGAAAATGGCATTCAACCCAGAGGAGCAGCCATCTGAGGAAGGAGCATCTCTGGTGTTGGAGGAGGCAGAACAAGCAGAATGACTCCTTCCAGAATCTAGTCCACAACCGAAGCTTAATAAACGTTGAATGGATAGTTGAATGAGGAAGAAATCACCAGCAGAAAGCTCTACTAGGGAAAGATCCTGAACACTGTTGGCAGCTTCTCTGCCTTGGCCAGTGTCTGTGAGGCATTTTATGTGGCTGTTCTACCTGCTTCCCTTAGGGCCCTTCTCCTTGTCACCTGTGCCAATTAACTCTTCCCTGCCCTTGCCTCTTTGCATGGTGCTCAGGAAGTAGAGTAAGGCGGTAGAGATGGGGACAAGCAAGGAAAGAGACTATGGGGTAGAAAGATCTGGGAAAGAGGAACACTTCCTATGGGAGGTCTTTGTTTACTTGCTGAAGTCTGGAAGAGAAGACCTTGCCTTATACTTCTATAGTATCTGTCCCACTGTCTTTTAATTACCTGTCACTTTCTTTCCCATTAGACCAAAAGAGTTACAGGCAATGCTTTTTATTAACCATGAGAGTTGCTGCTGCTCATTGCAATGCCTGGCATGTAGTTGGCTATGAATCAATATTTATTGCCTTTGATTGTAGAACAGAACTGCTACCCCAAACAGTCTTTGTTGACTAACAGGGGCTCCTATGGTTTCAGTAGCCTTAGGTACCCATGGGACAGATCCATGGAGAAGAGAAAGAGTTATTTATCATCAATTACAAGTCTACTGAGTCCAATTCTTTCTACTATAAAGAGATGTAACTTAAAATCACCACACTATGAAAAATCATGCAATAAAGACCACAGGGCTTATTGGAAAAATGGGGTAGGAATACAACACTCAAAAACTTCATAAGTGATACAATTTTTTAAAAGATAGGGGCTGGCCACAGTGGCTCACACCTGCAATCCCAGCACTTTGGGAGGCCTGAGGCTGGAGGATTACTTCAGGTCAGGAGTTCGAGACCAGTCTGGGCAACATAGCAAGATTCTGTCTCTACAAAAAGATCTTAAAAGTTAGCTGAGCATGTGGCATGTGCCTATAGTTCCAGCTACTTGGGAGGTTGAAGTGGGGTGATAGCTTGGTCTCAGAAGCTCAAAGTTACAGTGAGCCATGATTACACCATTGCATTCCAGCCTGGACAAAAGAGTGAAACCTTGTTTCTCTGAAAAACAAATTTGAAAAAAACGATAGGAGCCTAATAAAATAGCACCATATTTCACATGTTAAATGGTTAGAAAGTACATAAATACTATAATAAATATGACACTTTACCTTGAAAAAGACATAGAATTTCCCTTGTGAAAAGTGAATGTTGGGAGCAGTTGGTGAATTATTTTGAAGCAGTAAAGGAGGCTTATCAGAAATTGGTTGAAAGTTGTAACACTAAATGTGAGTGGATATACCTCATGACACAAGTGGTGAACTGAAGCAGCTGATAGATGTTTGAAGTGTGTGCATGTTGGGCTTTCCTACTCAGTTCGGTTCAATTGGGTGGAGTTTTCTGAGTTTACCTGGTTTCTCAAAAGTGAATTCACATATAAGCAAACATGAAATTTACATTATGCTCAGTTTCATAATGCACATATCAGTTGTGTTTGAACAAATTTGCATTAAAATCAGGTTTATAGCAGAATGGATTGAATCTCTTTTGTGCCTAGCCCTGTGTCATGTGGTGAGAATACAGTGACAATAACAAAATCCTGCTGCTCTCAAGGAGTTCACAGTCTAGTAAACACAGTTATTGAATGTAAACAATTGTTGAAGAGCTATTAAGACAATTGCATTAGCTCAGGTCAATACCATATATGATGGCAGTGTAGAGAAAGAAGACTTTCACTCATCCTAGGGGAGTGAGGGAAATCACTGAATCACAGTAATGGTCAAAAGTCCCATGGAGTTTCCTGTGTGCATGCACTGCTCTAAGCCCTTACCTCACAACAGTTATTTGAAGTGGTTACAATTCTTTCCCCAATTTTACAAAAGAAACTAAGGAACAGATTAATTAACTTGGCCAAGGTGACACAGCTAGAAAATAGAGTTGGGATACTAATTCAGCCTGTGTGGCTCTAGCATACTTGCTCTTAGTCACTACTTCAAACATTTCATCTGAGATCTAGCACATGAGCAGGAATTTGTAGTACCTGTTGGGGTAAAATGCAACTATTCCCAGGAGAAGGAGTTCGAGAGACTCTGGGATTGATAGGTGGTCCTAGGATTGCTGAATGGAGAGATGTAGAAAGAGCTGCAATTATTTGGTTGTAACTGTTGATCTTTTATCCTTTGAGAGAGGAAAAGAGCACTTAGGAGCAGTGGGTTGAGAGCCATGAAAGAGAGGGTTGGGGAAAAGTACTCTTGACCTCAAGAGAACACTAATGGGATTTTGGCTGTCTTGGATACTTCTTCTTTGTGAAAAGATTGTTAATAAGATAAATTACAGAGCCCTTAAGGCCAACAATCTGCTGAATTCTGCATTTCTCACTCTCCAATAACCCAAGATACATTGGGAGATATCACTGACTCTGTCTTTAGAAAATTCCTTGGTTGGTCTCCCAGGCCCCAGTTCACACTTATAGAAGCTCTCTGAGCACATGTTGGGCACCAACTGGCTAGTCTTTTCCTATGATACTGGTCATTAGAGGAGGGGATTTGGCAATATACCTGTGACCTTGTTGGGCTATGTGCTAGAGCCTGCTCCCCAGAGGAGGGTGCCTGCTCTCTGCAAGGAGTGGAGTGGGGGTGGAGGAAGGAGTTTAGGCTTACTGGATCTTTCAGTTGTTTCTAGACTGGCACGGAAGATAGGATAGGAGGATTCTATCTGGAGCTGACCCTGATTTTCTCACACTTTTGGCTAATACAGCTACCAACAACATCTATAGAATAGGGTTCTCAGATATCAGCTTGTATCCATATAGGCTTGCTCTATGGTTTTCCACTTAAAATGACCCATGAGTAATGCCACGTAAGAATAGATTATTCATTTACACAATAGGTTACAGATCAGAAAGTCTTGCTTCCTAGTGGTGTCATATAACACTGAATCCTCTTTTAGAAACCCACTAAAGCAAACTCTCAATTGTTAAATCTCAGTTCCCAGGTCAGTATGAGACCAGACCCCTCTGTGACTAGTAGCACTATAATAGCCCAGGCCTCACCTTCCCTCAGTTTCAGGAGCAGTAGTGGGACCCTGAAAAATCAGGTTTCCCTACCCTATGAAGATGTGGAAGGACTCATGAAACCACCAAGGCCATTCTGTCTTCTGGCTTTGCTTTTTCCTCTCCACCTTGGGCTTCCCAGTCCTTCCATGAGAAAGACTTAACATTCCATAAAGCTCTGGGGTATTGGACATCCCCAATTCCTAACATAATGTGCTTGCACAGAGGTTGTAGATAAAGGTATAGAATAGCTCACATCTAGTTTTTATTAACCCTCCTATAATATTTTCTGCTCTCCTTATCTGTTTCCCCCCCCTCTGCAAAAGTCATAGTCTAGAGACTCTGGGACTGACACCATCTTTAACCATACATAGCAGTAACTCTATTGTTCTCCTGCATGCTGAGGTAACAGTTGCTATCTTTGTTTCCAAAGTAACACTATACCAGTAAGATTAGTTTAGGACTCTGAAATAACTTTAACTTATCCAATCATTCATTTTTCTTTATTGTGAAGCATGGAAGGGGTATTTTTTTTCTAAGCCTCTCTGAAAAGTAGTGGTGGGTTAGAACAGTGCTGAGAGGGTCTTCCAAAAACTTTTTAAACTAGAAGGCGGCCGGGCATGATGGCTCATACATGCAATTCCAGCACTTTGGGAGACCGAAGCAGGAGGATTGCTTGAACCCAGGAGTTTGAGACCAGCCTGAGCAATGCAACAAGACCTTGTTTCTTTTATTTTTCTGCACTATTTTTTATTTATTTATTTATTTATATATTTATTTATATATATCAATATTTTTTATTTTGATATTGTGGGGTACAGTTAAGGGTTAAGTATACAAATATGCTTCATTCAGGCACCCTTGTTGATAAGGGGGTGTCTCCCTGTCCCCAGACAGATATTGACTACCGTTAATCCCACCTCCCTTCCCCTCTCCCCCCCATAGTTTCCCACCACTGTCAGTCCTTTTTCTGTAGTATTACGATGGATGTTCAAGGTCTGCTGTATGAGTGAGAACATGTGATACTCAGATCTTTGTTTCTGTGAGAGGTCATTCAGTATTATTGAC